AGGTCATTTATTTGCCTTTCACTCAGACCACGATCACTTCACTTCGTACAGAGCGGGTTTTAATGGAACTGAAGTTCAATTATTGCTTCCCAATAATTTCATAGAAATCTTTTCCTGAAGAGCATACTATAAATTCTTAAGAACTCGCCACAAAAAAAAACAACAGCCCCCCAAAAATGTATTGACCATGAAGTTATAAAAATCTCAACATTATTCTAAAATTTGTCAGTATTAAAAAATCTATACATCTAAAAACACACGCTTAGCGTAATGACATTAGCTTGTCGGAAAGGGTTCCTCCACTCCATGGATTATTAAGAGTCCTCCAGAAAATTTATCTAGATATCAGCATCGTTTCTTTTTAATCCAAAGGTGTTCCAGTTTGAAGGGGACTCTGTGGGGGTGGGGGGTTCACATCATAGGGTGGGCAGGGCGTTTGGCGTAGCGTAGGAAGGGGGGGGGTCGGAAAGGAGCAGCTGACTTTCTCCTGGGTGCCTCTCCCCCTTTTTTTTAAAAAAAAGAGATGCTTTTATGATACACAGTCAAGTATAAATACTTAAAAGTACCCATATACGTGAACAACAGGAACAGTTGGTAGTAGAGGTGCGACTTATAATCAGGAGCAGCTAAACTATTTTTTTTATTATTTTTTTAAATTTTAATGAAGCATAAGGGTGTTAAGAATCGAATGCTGTATCTATTATTGCCTTAAAAAACAACAACTAAATATATTGAGCATAGGCGATGTTTAATTAGTTCCACTATTTCAATAATTTTGATGGTTCAATTTCACCTTTCATACTCTTTGTAACAAATGTTATCAATGTCAAAATGTGACTGTTTTTTTTTTTTAAATAAAAATATTTGTAAATTATATTTTCAATTAATTGCTGCGCAGTTCCCCCCCCCCCCCCCACACACACTTTTTTTTCCATGGAGGCGAGAGGGGCTAGTTAACGTTGAGATGCCTGAAACGGTTACCGGAAATTTGTTTAAAAAAGACATTTCGTTGACCGAAAATCGATCGACGGAATTTCGGTCGAACGGAAGTTTGGTTGAAAGTTGTTTTGTTGTTTTTTTTTCAGTTCACACGATCACATTTTTGTCAAATTTCTTTTTCAACGCCCTGTACAATAGAGTAAAACAAAATAATGCGTTCAAAAAGAAATTGTGATCGTCAGTTATTTTCTTCAGTTATTAATTAAAGAATTTTGCAGCTGCTTAGCGACCTTTACGTTTACCAATGACTGAATTGATCACCTAACTCGAGATTCAGTTAACAAACGCGTCATTTTAAATTTTGCCGACGAATGAACTAGACACCAATTGGACTAGTTACCTAAAAGTGATTAGGTTACCTAACGGGTTAACTAGGTACGTAACTAGCTATTCATTTACCTGACGAGTAAACTAGTTACTTAAGTATTGCATCAGTTACCTAAACTAGTGATTCAGTTGCTAGCGAATGATTGATTTACGAAACTCGACATGCATTTACTCACTAGCGATTCAGTTACCTAACCATTGCTTCAGTTACCAAAAGATTGAACTGGTTACCTAACTAGTGATTCAGTTACCTAACTAGTGATTCAGTTACCCAGCGATTGAACTAGTTACCTGATAGCTGATTCTTTCACCTAATGGCCGACGACATTTTAAATTTAGAACATTTAATCCTTCATAGCTAGATTTTTTTAAATCATTACGGTTCTTTGTAGAAATAAACTATTACTTATTGTAACTTAGAAACTTGAATTCCCTTTTAAGATTATTGTGGGATTCTTCTGATTCACGCATTCATTGATTATTATTAGGAGAGGTTTTATAAGAAGGGGAAAGGGAATGAGCTACAGTAAACAATTTCAAATCACTGATTGGTTGATAGTTCTGCTATTTTTTAAGATATCACAAATCTGAGCAGTAATAAAAGCGATAGTCGATAGAAAGGCTTAGATGGATCTCCGCTTATAATTTTACACTCTTGGTTTTGATGAGTATGGATATTGACAACCCGAAATGCCAAACTATTGATCATTAACATTGCCTTATGAAAAGGCGAATGTATTCTGATTCTTGGGAACTTATTTTATCAATAGTAATATAGTGGATGATCGCAATCGATCGATCAATGACGGAAGGTCACTGCTTGGGTGACCAGTGGATCTTCCGGTCGTGCTTTTCTTCGTTAATTCTCATGGCCGGAACGAAAGTGAGCTTCCTGGTTGTACAGAAGTGGGATGGACTCCCCCAGCGGTACGGTGTGTGTGCAAAATCCTGGAAACTCGCAGTCCTAACTGATGCAAGCCCGTGGTTTTGGAGATGGATAGGTAGCGCTTTGGTGGACTCCTCGGAGTGAGGCCCCTCAACTTCCAGCCTCTATGGTGCGGGTGGTATCTTGCAGTAATGCAACTTACACAGTTATATAAAGCGATGATCTGTGTTGATCGATCAATGTGCGTGGTCACTTCTATGCCGGGAGTGGAGCTTCTTCTTCGCACGTTCTTTGGGTGGTTGGGGGAGGGGGGCCTTTCTCGGGGCGGGGGTCAGATGTGGACTACCCAGCTGTAGGTTTTTTGAACGGTCTTTCAATCAGTAAGTGATGTGATTTAAGAGTCCTAGAAACCCTCAGTTGTCTGTGATGCAGGGTCGTGGATAGGGATATGGATTCAGCTGCTGTTATGAGGTGGTTTCTGGCAATACGGCAAACAGGCTATATAAGTGAAATGATATGGGAAAAAAGAAGGGAGGAAACTTTTCTAAGAGCCATGCCCCTTTCCTAAACCAAAGACCTCAGATCGAGGCACTGGAAGGGGCTTAAGCTTGTACACAATCATCCAATGTATCCATAAAATTACTTATCCTTACCGTTGCCAGCAGATTGTAGACACGGTATAACGCTGTGTGAAATTATGGACAAAGAAGACAATAATAAGGAAAATTAATTTTACTTAAAAGAAGAGAGAAAAAATATTAAAAGGGTGGGGGTGTAGCGGGGATGAGGTCTAGCAAACTCTAGTACTATCAATTGACTATAAACGTCTACTTGAGTATTATGTACAATTGTTATTTTAGCTTAACATTTATTGTTACTTTGACACCAACTATTCGTGTCTAATTATTCTGCGTGTAGTAGATAACGGTTTAAGAATTTTAAGGCCCCAAACTTCTTGGGGTTTTAGAGTGGACAGCGAAAAGTTTTGTTACGCAGTGCCTTCTATAGTGAGAAATTAATCTCTTATTTTAATTTTATGGCTCGTTCAAATACCATATAGAAATACAATAGCAAAAATACGACACTCAAAACAGTACTAATTACAATTAATAAGATTTATTTAAGTATTAATATAATTAAAAATAAAAGAAATTTAATTACAAACCATCAACTTACAGAGTACGATATGTCTTGTACCGGTACACAGTTAGTACAATGTGCCAATTCATAATGTACAATGATGAATACGAATAAACACATATGAGTACACACAGAATAATACACTTGTCTCGTGAAGTGAAAAATATCTATCTCAATCTCCGTCTCTTAATTTTCAATGAACCCCTTATATATGCAGCGTAAGACGCATTCCAGAAACGACATAAACATTGTTTACTTTTCTAGTCCAATCGCGAACTTTCCGCAAAATCCTATGAGAACAGATTAACTATTTTTAGTTGGTAGTGGTAGTAAACAAAGGCCAAGCTCAAAGGAAATAGGCCACATCCAATGCGAACGCTGCGTCTGCCAGATTGGGTCATTCAGAGTTCACGGGACGGGTATATGTGACGAAAACACGTGGTATACATAACAGTTTGCTAGTTGTTTGTTTGTTTCTTTTTTGAAATTCTGCTAAGAAATATAGGATACATTTTGACTTTAAAGACATCATTCATTCCGTCACTTATTTCACAAAAGCTCGATGGAAAGATATTAACAATCCTATCAATATATATAAGCAGATGACAAATAGTTGATAAGTAGATGAACTCTCAACAATTTTCATGGACAAAGATCCGAATAAAACTATATTAAGTGCAGAAACCATGTTTTATTTCATCGTACCGAACAGAATGTGTCTTTTTGTTTCAACAGTTGCCTCGTTTACGGCAGGATTTCTAAAAACGCTCGCGCTTCTTCCCAAAAGGGAATATCAATGACACACTTGCATTTGATAATAAACGTGCAGTACTTCATATGTAAAGGGAAGCGGTCTGCAGCTCTGAGATTCTATCTTTTAATTTGGCGGCTACCCAATGATTTAGGAAGCTGTCATGCCTGACAGGATGACACCCCCTTTGTGGCGTTGTGTAAGGTAGTCTGGCGACCACCACCAGCATCCCAGATGCAAAAATGAAAGTCAGGCTTAGGCTTAGATCGATTGACGATGGTGAAAGAGATCTACAGCAGCTAGGAATACAAAGCTATGAAAATGAAAGCATCAGATATACATGGAAGAAAATTGTGAGACACTCCAAAGTCCTTCAAGGGCTGTAGTGTCACCACATGGATGTGTTGTTGTTTTGTTCTTTTACATAGAAATGAAATGACATAAGAAGGCTTTGATAAACACATTTGGAAAAACTTCTTTAAATTAGTGTGTTTTTTAAAGATAAATTAATACCATTTATCCGCTTTCAAACGCTATTTAATATACCTGTGCCTGCATCGGTGACCAGAATGATGTCCTGATTTTCATTCCGCTTAAGTGTAAATAGCGTTATGTTTTCAATGTGCACTGGATTACTCACGGCTCAATGGGCCCAGAGGCAGGCTTCGCGGGCACTGTCGTGATATATCGAAAAGGGCTATTTTATTGACTGTGAAAATATCGCACCTGGAACTTTTTGGCCGCATGTCTATCCTATTATTATTTTTATTTCTTAGGTAGTAAAATATACACTGAAGATTCATGTAAATCAAATACATGAAACAAGAATACATGTGTTAAAAGTTAGAATGGTTCCATGAAATTATTTTAAAAAACACCACACACAAAAAAAAAGGCTCAACAGTTGCGGCTCCAGCAGGCCAACAACGTTGACCTGTAGCGTGTGTTGAACTTCAGGTAGACGAACATGTTGCACGAGCAGTGAAGAACTTCCAGCGTCAACCTCATTTCATTGGTCACCCAGTACGTGTTGCGATAACGACCGAATATACTGTAATCAGAAATGCAGATTAGGGCGTAGTAGTTCAATAGTTTGAACGTGTTGAAAAAAACAAACAGAATGGACACAAATGTAGTGGACTTAATTGCCATTATCTCTTTTGAAGAGTTGGCCTTCACGTGGAAAGGAACAGGAGTGATAGCTTCATTGGAAGTTGTATTCATCCCAGAGCGTGTTTTTTCTGTGATTGTTCTATAAACATCTTTCGATTGTTTATTTGAGCTCATCTCGTCAGACAAAAACGAAAAATTTGTGTTCAAATGCTGATCGGGGAACTTCGTTTTTTGAGCTGTCAGCTCCGAAGACATCTGGTCGGTACTGGCTATTTTTGTCGCCCTCCTAAACTTTGATGACGCCCGTAATCGTGAAGCGAGAACGACCAAGCAGAAGATGACGGTAAACTGACACGTGTTGGTAAATAACAAAGATACCATTCCTACAGCGGAGTACATCTTCCTACTAATTTCTGGTATCCATAATTTAAATAGAGTTCTGTTCTTGAACGGGTCCAACGTTTCCTCCAAACCTTGCGTCGTCAGAATCGGCAGGTGCATGGAAAACAGCGCCAACGTAATTCCAGATAAGATAACGGCAGTTCGCGTCCTTGTAAACGTGTTTTTGAAGCGAAAAGGCAGCGCGACACACCAGCATTTCTGGACGGCGATGAATGTCGTGATCCCCTGCGAGATGTCGTAGAAGGGGCCGTAGAACGATATCGTGAGGAAGGCCAAGTAGCTGCCGTCGGTTTTCCAGACGTCCACAAAGTAGAGTGCTAAACTCGTGGCCGTGCTTGAAAATATCATCAACAGAATGCACACAAAGTCCGTGCACGACAGCACGAAGAAGCAGATGCTGATGCTGTCGTTCAGTCCGAGTTTTAAATAGACGATGATGTTGATGAAATTGGCGATGACGCCTAGGACGAACGTCAGCGGTTGGAGGATCTCGACAGTGACAAAGGTGAACAGGTGCACCGTGTCCAGTGAGGTGAAGTCAAGAACGGTTATCTTGTGGATGTCCGTGTCGTTCATTGCCGCGGGTAGCTCGTTATCGCTTCATGAGCCGCAAAAGCAAATTTCTTCTTACTGTTGAAAAATTAAATGATCGGATAGTTTTAATCAATATTTGCAGAGCTGAAGAAGACTTGGTTTTTTTTTTTTTTTTTTTTTTTTTGTTTTTTTTTTTGTTTCTGAAATGTAAAAGGAAACTATTAGAAGAGAGAAATGGATTCGTCATAGGGAACTAAAATAATGTTAAATGTATTTTATCAATGTAGCAAACAAACTTCATGTCATTGCGCATCACATATTTTTGTTCATTTAATTTTTGTTTCTGCTAATGATATAGTATTAAAATATTTTTTTTTAAAATAATAATTATTCATAAAACAATTCTTTCTCGCGGTAGTATAGTTAATGGTCTCATATTAGCTGGACGTAAAGGAATTTACATCCATCAAAGACATAAGTCATTTTGAACTAAAAATTAGTTCTTAAAACTAAATCGCATTTTTAAAAAAAATTAGCATACGTATTTATTTTAAAACTATTGCGTAGTAAAATAAAATTAAAATTCAAGGGAAGAAAAAACATTTAAAACGACATTATAAAATCTATCTTCTTTGATATACCAAGAACCTCATGTCTAAGACAATCCTAAGCCAGTCTAAGCAGTGAAATAAATGTCATCCTTTCGGACCCTACTCAGCCATAATTAAAAAAAGGGGGTTCTGAACTTATGGCAAAAATATGAAACTAAGTGTTTGCGTCAGATACGTTGCGTCTTAAACCGGTGCATTGGATGTTCATATGTATCAGTTCGATGTGAAACATGTCTTTTCCTGCAGCTAGTGTAAACATATTGATTTCCCGTAACAAGATTAGGCTCAAAGTGATCTTCTGAAAAGCGTCATTCAAGACACAATGAAACGTATGCGTTCGTTATATCCGTGCAGCGGTGATTTACACAATAATACCGGTAATTGCATGACATATTTTCTAGCGGCTATAAATCATTAACGACATCAACTATTTAAAATTACGACTGTGGATAAGGTTACTGTATGTACCAGTAACTGGGGGAGGGGGGAGCTGCGTTGAGTTTTTAATACTATGGTTATATATACATATTAAAAATTATTTAAATTAAAAATATTTTTTTTTAAAATACAATGTTTCAATAAATTATTGAAACCTGAATCACCATACAAAGCAATTTTTATTTATTCGTTTTAAATTCTTTTTATTCTGTTTACAGTTTTATTGACACAAAGACACATAATGAAATAATGTGATATAAATAAAATCAATTTATTTATTTTGACGTATTACAAATGAATAAGTCTTTTAAACAAAAAAATTATGCCGATTTATACTTGCAAAGGGTTCTGTTAACGCAAAGTCAGTCTCTTGACCAAGTTTCACTTCAACGTGGCGCTAAAAGCTTCTACCCTTCCCTTCCCACCTTTTCTTTTCTTTGGATTTTGATATCGTCGTCACTGATTTACCCACACCTCCCTTGATTGGGATTGTTTAATTTTTAATGCATTCTAATTTTTTTTTCTAAATAATAATAATCAAAGAGAGAGATTTTCGCTATTTTTCCTAGACACAAACGAGACGTAATATATTAATAAAAGTGTGCTCTTTATGTGTGTCTGTGTGTGTAAATTAATGTTTGTATCTTTCGATTTTTCGATCTTTCGAGTATTGTACTTTTTCACTATCTATGCTGTATGTTGTTTTTTTTATAGTTTTTGTTTCTGTAAATTTGATTTTGTTTTTTTATAGAAATTTTTGGTATAATTAAATTGAATATTGTTTTGTTTTTTTAATTAGCATTTGTCATCGTTTTTCTTTGAGTAGTGTTTTTTTCAGTTCCCTGTTACGTATTGTTTATGTAACGAGCAAATTTTTTTTAACAATTAATTTTCAAGACCATATAACGGTACGAAACAAATTTGGGGGCTCGTCCTGGATTGTATCCAAATAAATTTCTAACTGCAAACAATAAAAAAATTGGAGTTTGACCTGTGATCTGTATCCAGCTTTCTTACGGACACAACAAATTGTTTTCACTAGACTTTTTAAAGAGACCATAACCAGAGCTAGTTACACTTTTAAAAAAAATCTAAGTATGCTCACTAAGCTTGCAAATTTATTTCAAAAATGTTTTCGGATTATTAGCCTGAGACTTTGATGAAAACAACCCATCACTAGAGGCATAGGATGAATGTTTTCGAAAATATATATTTTCCATTGCAAATGAGTTAGGAATAAATGTACTGCATTATGCTTTGAAGAAGAATGTAGGAGATATAATTGCCTTCCGCTATATGAATACAGATCTGTTGTTTGAGGATGAGCTGGCATCAGTCAATGAACAAAAATATCGTGGTATGTGTGGAGCTCCAACTAAAGCTAATACAAATGGGGCTAGAAAAACAAAGAGAGCTCAAGTAAAAAGAGCTAGATGCTTAAAGAGAGCTACGACTAAAATTGAAAGGAATAAAAATTACGAGCATCCACTGTGCAATGGAAAATTGACCCACTGCTGCAATCAGCCAGTAGTCCTACGACCACCATCAGTCAGTAGACCTACGGCTACCATCAGTCAGTAGACCTACGGCTATCACCAGTCAGTAATGTTTCCATAACCCAGTAGACCTAAGGCTACTACTTGTCAGTAGACCTACGGCTATCACCAGTCATTAGACCTAATGCTACCATAAGCCAGTAGACCTAAGGCTACTACTTCAGTAAACCTATGGCTATCAACAGTATTTAGACCTACGGTTACCGTCAATATTTAAACCTACGGCTACCACCAGAATTTAGACCTATGGCTACAACCAGTATGTAGACCTACGGCTAGCATCAGTCAGTAGACCTACGGCTACTATCACCCAGTAGACCTACGGCTACCACCAGAATTTAGACCTATGGCTACAACCAGTATGTAGACCTACGGCTAGCATCAGTCAGTACACCTACGGCTACTATCACCCAGTAGACCTACAGCTACAACCAGTATTTAGACCTACGGCTACCATGAGCCAGTAGACCTATGACTACCACCAGTCAGGGTTAGGATGCAATTAAATTTGCAAAGTTATTCCCCAAGTTTGCATATAAGGGTATTGATAAGCAGTTTGAAAATAACTGCGTTCAATGTTAAAATAATTTAAAATCTTCGGTCAACCTTTTTTTTTTTTTTGCAGCCTGCTTTGACAGTTCGGGCAGCCTGCTTTGACAGTTCGGGCAGCCTAAGGTAAGTTGTCGTGCCCCTAACTACTGAGCAGCGTGGGGGACTATAAGCTTGTCAAGTCATTAGTACTTCATGCTTATGAACGGTTCGCCGAAGCATACAGTAGAAAGGGAATGACTCCTGTAAAAATGGCTTCACGTAGACACAGACTTCATTATATTCAAGACCATCGTACTGATGGAGGCGTTCAAGAATTTGTGTTCATCTGCACGTACGGACACATACTGCAGACCTTGACGAAGATGATGTGCCTAAGGCAGTGTTTGTTGGCCGACCATGGCACCATCCCGCATCAATGCTCAGAGAGCCAGTTTGAACCCAAAACAAGACAAGCACCATAGCGCAGCAGTGTCAGCTGATAGCAGTCCTCAACAAAGATTTTACAAATCTGTCACAAAAAATAATCGAGTCCAAGAGACATCTGTGCCTTAATTTTAAAAAAAAAGAAGGTTATCAGCAGAATGATTGTCGGAAACTAAAGAAGAAAAAAAAAACAAGTGGAAAGGGGATGGTGAAGCGAAATTAGGAGAAGACATAGGCCATAATATAAAAAATACTAGTAATTTGAGTTTGAATTTTTGAAGTGGATTATATTTTTTCTCTTCTCTTTTGGAATGTGAAGATTTATTATTGCGTAGGATGCAAGTAATTTTAGTCAACGCCCCTTTTTTAAACAAGTATACAAAAATTCATGAAGAATAAATGCCGATTTATATCGCTGTACCTTCACCAACATAAACGTCTTATGTATTGGGTAAAATATATTTCATTTCTATAGCAGAAACAAATGAGTCTTAAAGAACAAGAACGTTTTGACAGTGATAAAATCTGCATGTTTTTTTTTTGTGTCAGTCGAAACTTGGTGAGACCTCTTAGCACATCTCTGCCAGTGAGGTGTTTGTGAAATTAGTGAAACATGTGTACACACTGCGGGTGTGTAACGTGTAACTATTGCTGGTAATGTAACCATTGCTGTAAATGTAACGTGTAACTATTGCTGGTAATGTAACTATTGCTGTAAATGTAACGTGTAACTATTGCTGGTAATGTAACTATTGCTGTAAATGTAACGTGTAACTATTGGTTGTAATGTAACGTGTAGCTTTGGCTGGAAATGTAACTATTGCTGGAAATGTACCGTGTAACTATTGCTGGTAATGTAACTATTGCTGGAGATGTAACGTGTAGCTTTGGCTGGAAATGTAGCGTCTATTGCTGGAAATGTAAGTCTATTGCTGGAATGTAACGTCTATTGCTGGAAATGTAACGTCTATTGCTGGAAATGTAACGTCTATTGCTGGAAATGTAACGTCTATTGCTGGAAATGTAACGTCTATTGCTGGAATGTAACGTCTATTGCTGGAAATGTAACGTCTATTGCTGGAAATGTAACGTCTATTGCTGGAAATGTAACGTCTATTGCTGGAAATGCCACGTGTAACTATTGCTGGAAACGTGAACTGAAAAGAACCTCTGCTTTAGGCGTTGGAGTCTAACCCAAATTTAAATGTTAATAAAGGAAGGACGATATGTTCTCTTTTATACGAGTAAAAAACAAAGACGACACAGTGGTGATAGTTTATGTTATATAAAAAAAGGGGGGGGGGGGGCTAAGTAAAAATTAAAAAAAAATAAAAAG